CCTCATCCTGTCTAGTTTACAGACTTTACCAAAGGAGGGACAAGGCATTTTGTGAATATTGTTGTGGGTTTGTGGACAGGTCTTTTGAAAAAACGAAAACAAATTCTCCTAGGAATTGTGGGTATGGAAATTTCCATTGATTTGACTTGGTGCTAAGATGAGGAAGTGGCCTTCAGAACATTGGGATAAAAATTACAATGGGATGACTGATCACTTACTGAGTGCAGATATCTATTTGCATTAATTAACTAGTATTTGCATGCTTTTATTCTTCATCTTATTTATAATCTTCTAAAAGGCAGGAATGAGACCTTGTCTGTTTAGGGTCATATATAAAAGATCGACTCTATAAGAGAAGGCGAAGGCTATACAAAGCTTAGTCACTGTTTCTAAGTAAAACTCTTTTCAAGGCCTTGAGACATGACTTGCATAGTTTCTAAGAAAAAAAATGTGAAGTAGGCAAATGGCACTGATTTTCACTTTGTGTTATTTGTCCTCTGAGTAACACTTCACCATCATCTTTCTCAGGGATTCACAGTCCCCAGCCACTTAAATGTCCTCATCAACATCTATTATCTAAAACTTCATTTGTGAAAACAGAAGAATAAAAATATTAACCCTTCTGGGGCAGCTTCATCATGGATCAGGAACTTCAGCTAAGGAACAAAGCCCTATCTAACAAATTTCAGGTATCAGCGTAAAGGGGAGGTATAATTTTAGGTGACATCCAACACAAGTCTTCTGTGTATATCCAGTACCACATCTTGAAGCCTATTGCATGCTATGGTATGTTGGCTTTTCGGTTTCAGAAAGAGAGATAAAGGAAGATGCCACCCAGTACTGTAACTATGGTAAGGGCTACAGCAGCCAACTCTGGAATGCCAGATCTCAGCTCTGTGATCCTCAAGCTCTGTGACTAGGAGCAAGTCACCTACTGTCCTGTGGCTCAGATCCCTACCCAGTAAAATAACTAATACCAATTTCACTGAGATGATGAGAAGATTAAGTGTAAGACTCTGAGAGAAGTTCCCAGCATTGAGTAAGCGCTCAATAAATGCTAGCAATCATCACTACACACAAGGCAGGAGGGTCCCACAAAATAATTGAACCCAAGGTCTAAAGAGTCACCATAAAGCATCTTTCTGCTTAAATTATATTAAAATTCTGCATTCGTGCCAACACCAACAGTTTGAGGAAGTGAGAGAGGACTTAGAGATAAATGTCATTTCAATTTACATCTTGGGTCGGGCATGGTGGCTCATCCCTGTAATCCCAGCACTTTAAGAGGCCAAGGCAGGTGGATAACCTGAGGTCAAGAGTTCTAGACCAGCCTGGTCAACATGGTGAAACCCGGTCTCTACTAAAAATACAAAAAATTAGCCACGTATGGTGGCAGGTGTCTGTAATCCTAGCTACCTGGGAGGCTGAGGTGGAGAATCACTTGAACCGGGGAGATGGAGGTTGCAGGGCGCCAAGACAGCACCACTGAACTCTAGCCTGTGTGGCAAGAGTGAAACTCCATCTCAAAAACAACAGCAACAACAACAATTTAAATCTTTCGGGGTGGCAAAGTGGCAGCAGAACTCACCTTTAAAAATGAGATAGGTAGACCCTGTCTCATTCTCCCCAAAAAAGCAATGTAGTCCTTCTCCACTGGCACCCCTTTCTTTAAAGATATGAGAATGTAAGAATTCTCCACCTGTCTTAGACCCATGCTTGACTCCTAAAGACCACAACATCTTTTATAACGAAAGTCAAGGACACAACCATAATTGTCCTCCTCAACTTAGCATCAAATATAAAGGCTGTTTACACAACGCTATAGATTATTGGCTTACCCAACACAATATATGATTGGCTTTTATACAATTATTTATACCTTTTAAAATAAACACCGTGAACAAGTGAGTGTGGAATCTGTAACAGTCCCCATTTAATCGCGAAAATCTTTCTTATGGAGCGAGGATTAAGGAAAGGCACCTTGAACAAATTCTTCTCCTTGAACGCCCCTTTCCCCCCCTGCCCTCTGTTCCACAGCTGGCTGATGATTGCCAGCACAGGCAGACAGAACTTGAGGGTGGCTGGGCAGCTTTACAACTCAGCAGCTGTCTTCAGCACATGCGCAACGATCAGGACAATAAAATATTGTTCATTGCTTCTACCCCACAACCAATTAGGTCAGCTGTAAATATTGGAATTGCTTGGTAAACATGCTGGAAGATTGTGCTGACTTGTTAATATAAGTGAAAATGTAATTAGATTTATAACACTTTTTTTTCCAAGCCATAATTTACAACAACAGCAACAGGAGAAAAAAAAATCTCTTGCAACCTGCTGAAATATCATTATTAAAATGCACATGAAAAGTCAATTATGCCAGAGGGAGGTATTTAAGAGAAGTGAGTTTCCATACCCTGGGATTACACCGTGGGGATTACATATTTCTTATTTATTTTTTCCCTGGATCTTTTTTTGCTGCCAAATGAAAAGGAACAGATATTTTACTTATTTCACTCTGAAATATTGCTGCAGATAGAGCTAAGAAGTAAACCAAATAACCTGACTCCCTGGAAACCTACTCAATTCTCTTCAAAGCCCCAGGAAAAGCCGAGTAGTCACCATTCTTTTTTATTTATAAGCCCATCTCGCTTTAAGCAATAGTCATGTCCCTTAAAATATGTGGAAATATTTTTTTTTGTAAATGCTATTCTGTTTTACACTCTAAATGAGTCGATTATTATATAGAATTCTGTGCTGGCAGTCTTTACATAAAGATAAGAAATAAGCCCTCATTTTCATTTTAAAATTTGTAGTTTCCTCTACTCACAGGATCATAGTGGGAGCACGACTCTACCCTCACCCAAGGGTGGTACAGAGTGGCAGGACATTCATGTGATACCTCAGGCACAGGTGTCACCTCATCCCCACCCAGGCAGGAGATCTTGGCGACATCATCCCTGAGCTGGGCTTCATCCCATGACGGGGGTTGGGGGCTCTGTGTGCCAGGTGAGGACGCAACCATAATTGTCCTCCTTAAGTTAGCATCAAATATAGAGGCTATTTACACAACGCTATAGATTATTAGCTTACCCAGCACAATATATTATTGGCTTTCATGCAATTATTTATATCTCTTAAAATAAACACCAAGAACAAGTGAGTGTGGCATCTCTAATAGTCCCCATTTAATTGGGAAAATCTTTCTTGTTGAAAGAAGGTTAAGAAAAGGTACCTTGAACAAATTCTTCTCCTTGAATGTCCCTTTCCTTCCCTGCTCTCTGTTCCACCAGACGGGTTCTGTTCCTTTCTCCCTGAGAACACCGCTGTTCCTCCCAGAGGGATTCTAAGCCCATTTCCAATCATAACCCAGCCAGGTTGCTGCCCCTTTGCTTCCTGGTTTCCTCCTAATGAATGTAGGTGGTATTATATCTCATCTGCATTTAAGGTACCAGTGGGGAAAAGGCTAGTTTAAAAAAAATCATAAAGCCATGTGTAAGTGTGAAAGAAGCTGCCATTTTCTGTCTGTCTCTGTCTCAGAATTCTAAAATGTTCTGCTTAGATAATGGAAGAAATTTTCTAATGCCTTTTTTTTTAGAATTGCTAGTGCATATGTTGCAGATAAATTACTTTTTAGGGCAAGATTTTGGTGTTGCCACATAAGAATCAACCAAAATAAATCACATATATAAGTCATACATACATATGTATGACTTATTTATACATACCAGTATATACATACATGCATTACAGACACATATATACATATATACACACACACATATACATACATATATACACACATACATATGAATAACTTATTTATACATACCAATACATACATACATGCATTACAGACACATATATACATATATATACATATATGTATGTATCTGTATATATATACACATGAAGATCTAGAAGAGCCAAAAATAAGAAGTGGCAAAGTTTACAGACTTTGATTCAAAGTAGCCTTTTAATCCAGTGATATGGCTTTGTAATTGACAACAATGCAAATGACCTTCCAAAATAAAAATGTCCAGTTTTTATGTATTTATTGCATATAATAATGATTAACACATTTATATTTGCATGTTATTACAAGTAAAGAGCACATTAAAATTTCTAGTTCATAAATAATATCTTACGAAAAATATTTTCATCCAGATTAGCTAGATTTGCTTCAACTAAAATACTGTTTGATTTTATACTCGGTCAAGCCTGATGCCCAGGTTTTACACTGTTTTAGTGTAAATATAAATATCCAGAGGCCTTCTTTCTAAAAATTCCTGGTTTCAGTGGTTGCCCACAGCATAGGTATCTGCTGCCAGGACCATGGGCAACATGTTTTCTTTGTTCTCACTTGACTTGTTTTATTCCTTTGAGAAATTCAGCCTTGGAAACCAGTTTTAAGAGACTTAGAGATAGCTCAGAGGCAAAAGACAACTGGAAGGGATTTTCAGGGCCAGGCCAAGTATCTGCTTGGCTTGTGAGTTTGGTCTTCCAGGAACAGTTCTCAGTATCTCCTGCCCACAGCCCCCCCAGGTCCGATTCAAAGCAACTGATTTCCATCATGCATCCCCTAGACTCACCCAGGGCAAGTTCTAAGCTGGGCAAAAATAAATAAATATGTAAAGATAAAAAAATCTGTGAACCCCGTGGCAGAAAGCTTTGACTTCTCTATATGGTTTCTATCTGGGTTTCTTTACAACTAATCTGTAAAGATTTGGGTGAATATATTAAAATAGAAAGTAAACAAGGAACTGTCCTGAGCGACTTTCACATTTTTTCTTCTGTTTTCCAAAGTCAAAGAGCTATGTCAGAGAACTCTGAATCTTTAGGGAACCAGGAATAAGATCATAGAAGAAATACGTTTGTATAATTACACAAGCAGATCATCTCTGTCAACCCTGACTCTATGTCTCCTTCCAACAATCTTTCAGGGTCCACCTTCCCACCTAGAACCATCTTCTTTTTTGGAGGCAGGGAAGGGTAAAGGAAAGGCATTCCTAACGAGGTACTCTGTCACCAGACATTCTTACACAAAACTCTGGATCTGCGGAGCTGCCTCAAGTTCTCTTCCTCCTTCCCCTTCCTCCTTCTTTCTTCTCCTTCAGTTTCCTGTTGCAGCCACTACATTTGACCCTCGTTTTTTTTCAAGCCAATAAGGAAGAGTAGAGAAGAGATGAAACAGTACTTTCCAAGGTGGGTATGTATGTAGGTATAGGTACGGTTATAAAAATTCCAGGGGGATAGGAGGCTCCTTCAAACCCTTGTCTAATAATACACCCCCTGGCTGGCCTTTTCCACCCTGAGAATCACAGCACACGCAAAAGGCCAGATGTTGGTGATGGGAGCGCTGAAGCAGAAAGGAGGTGAGGAGACAAGAGAAGAAACAGAGAAGTAGGAAGAGCAACTGGATTCTGGAAAAATAATTTACTACACCAAATTAGGGAATAAAATTATAAAATCAAAACTTTTCCCAAGCACATGATTTCTCTCTAACTCTCTATTGCCTGCACACAGAAACATACTCTAAAGTAAGGAAAATGAAAGGCGAAGCTGACAACAGCAAACCTAGCAGGGGCTGCAGTTTGCTAACACCTGGGCCAGCAGTCTGGGTAAGGGCTCATAGAATCAAGTGAGGAAGATGTGAGAGGGGTTTCTCTCCTCAGTTTAGTCAACCCTCTTGCTTCCTCTATTTTATTCCTAAGAATTTCTTAAAAGTGCAGACATGGGCTTGGAAGAAACTCCAAAGAATTTACTCCAAATAAACACAAGAACAATAGTCATAGTACATAAATACTTTTAAGCATCCTCCTATCATTTAGGGCATATGTATATATTATACATATATAAAATAGAAATATACATATATATGCATATATTATATATATAATATATGCATATATATGCCTTGATAGGATAATGCTTAAAAGTATTTACATATTTTATATAAAATATATATTCATATTTTATATAAAATATATATTTATATTTTATATACAGATAAGTATGTAATACATTTTTATATAGTATATATGTTTTATATATTTTACATATATATTAAAAATTTTATATATAGAAAAATGCAGATTGGCTTTCCCTCAGGTGAAATTTACCTTGGAACTATAATAGTAAATCATTGGGACTTTGCTCAAGTCACTTTCTCAGGTCTTCTAGAAGGCCTGCCTTGAGTGGGCACCATAAAATATCAGTTTATGGCTCGGGTATTGGTTGGATTTTAATAAGGCTTGGAAACTTCAATGTTATTCACTGCAGCTGTCAATCAAATACTTGTGCAATTAGGGCATATGCATATATATATATATATTTATATCTGATATATAAAATACATTTTTATGTTTTATATATATACATATATGACATAATTTTATGCATATATGTGAAATTACATATTTGCTACACCTACTAGGTACACAGTGGTATAGCAAACACTTGTGGTATAAATCTAACCTTGAGAAGTATGTGTCTTGTATGCAAGAAAAATTAGCCATCAATTAATTGCAGAATCGATTGAATTAATTAATGCAGAGCGTATTTCCATCTAATATTTGGTGAGTGCCTTTGATAATGTGTTGTGCTTTCATGAATTCATTAATGAGAAAGTTCTGTTGAGGGATGGGTCAGGTATTGCACTAGAGATCAGAAAATTAGTGAAATTAATAAGGAAGGCTTCCTGCAGGAGGCAGGTCTTGAGCTGCATTTGAAATGCCAAATGCTTCAACAGCGGGCATACTGTGATCTGCAGGAATAGGAAAAAATTAGCACAAAGCAAAGCAAACCTGATTGAAGGAAAATGCAGATTGGCTTCCCCTCAGGTGAAATTTACCTGGCAATTATAATAGTAAATCACTGGGACTTTGCTCAAGTCACCTTCTCAGATCTTCTGGAAGGCCTGCCTCAAGTGGGCACTGTAAAAGATCGGTTTATGGTTCAGGTATTTGTTATATTTTAATAAGGTTTGGAAACTTAGATGTTATTCACTGCAGCCGCCAATCAGGTACTTGTGTAAAAGCAAGACAAACACAGCAATAAATGCTAAGCACTCCAGTGTGCAGCAACTCTGGCAGGATGTACTGCGAGCTTTATGAATGTATGAGAGTGAATATACAGAAGCTTGGGAAAAGGTCATTGGTATTTTTGGAGCAATAAATCAAGTACGGAAAGATTTGCATTTTGGCTGTATAACATGCAGGACTGGATTAGAGGGAGAGAATACTTTGAAGTAATATTTCTCTGCTGACTTGTTTTATTAGCTTCTTTTAAACACGTTACATTATTGCTTATAGAATTTCATTTACTCGGATTGGCAGCTTGATAAATACGTCTATTGGCGATGATTTGGATTGCTCTGGGCATTAATATTATTAAAACTTGTCACAAGGAAATGTCTGAAAGATGACTTACTGTAAAGATTGCAGCATGAAATAAATCATCCAGTGGTATTTGTTACCATTTATGGCCTCTTGGAGCTGAGTCAATCCCTTTTTATGTTGCATTATTTTTCAAGTTTTTATAGCCTTACATTATATATTGCTGTCAGAAATGAACAGATGGGGTGTGGAACACAGGCTTTCTGAATAATTCCCACCCTCCAGTTATTGGTATGAAGGACAAGTGCAAAACTGTGTGTTCTCAAGCAAAAGGGAGCGAGAAAGAGGTGGGGAAGCTTCGGTTGAGGAAAGGGATCCCTTTGTCAGATGGTTTAGGCCAATCCCACCAGCTGGTTGGAATCCCTGACTGGCATTCACTCTGTTTGGGTTTCAAGCAAGAGATAAGGTAGCTGTATCTGACACCAGCAGCCAAAAATTGCAGTTTTCAAATGCATTTTTCCCTGAGTGCTGAGATACCCACCTCCACATTTGGAGGTAAATGTGTCATATCACTTGTTCCTAAAAAGCTGAGAAATATCAAAAACAAAACAAAACCCAGTAGAACAAAAAGAAAGATGCACAGAGAGAATCCAATATTCTTTGAGTCACTAATACTGCAAACATCCTGTTGTGGGGCAGGAAGGCAGGAAGGATTCTGAGCACTCTGGATTGCTTTGCAGGGCCCTGGGCATCAATATAAAAAATAAAAGCAACACTGCTGTTCTCTCTCCCTCTTCCTCTTCCTCTTTCTTCCTCTCCTTCATTCTTTATTTTTCTTTTTTTTTTATTCTTTCTCTTTCTTTCTCTCTTTCTTCTTCTAAAAAAAATAAATAAATAATAAAATAAAATAAAAGGAGCACCCTGGAAGTTCTCAACATCTCATACAGGAGGCAGGAATACAGCACTCCCAGGCTTCCTACACACTGAAGGGCAATGCGCCCTTAGGGATCATTAGCTGCCCCCTCTGACAGGGCCAGGCCACTCCCAAACCTTGCAGGAGCCCTTCTGCAAAGTTCTGAGACTTTGCAACCATTGGAGGAGGAGAGAAAGTTAACTTACTAAAAGGCCAGCCAACTGGTTTTTTGTTTGTTTGTTTGTTTCTGTTTTTGTTTTTGAGACAGAGTCCTGCTCTATTATCTGGGCTGGGGTGCAGTGGCACCCTCATAGCAGGCTTGAGCAATCCTCCCACCTCAGACTCCAGAGTAACTGGTACTACAGTCATCAGCCACCATGCCCGGCTAATTTTAAAAAACATTTGGTAGGGATAAAGTCTCACTGTGTTGCCCAGTCTGGTCTCAAACTCCTGGCCTCAAGTGATCCTCCCACCTTGACTTCCCAAAGCACAGGAGTTACAGACCTTAGCCACTTCATCTGGTCAAGCCAATCAACTTTTTAAGAGGAGGGGGGAAACATGAAATTTTCCTCACCTAGTCTCCACATCCACTACTACGTTCATTCTGAATAGTTATACAAAGTACCAGCATATTGCAGAGGAACAGGTAATAGACACAAAGCCTGAGTGTCTGGAATTCAAATTCATTGCTCACCATCTTGGGGCTTTAAGTGAGTCACTTAATTTCTCTTCATCATAAAAAGTGGATAAAAATATTTTTTCCTGCCTACCTCATGGTGTTGTTGTGAAAAGTCAAATCTCTCTCTCTCTCCTCTCTCTCTCTCTCTCTCTCTCTCTCTCTCTCTCACACACACACACACACACACACACACATTCAAGTTTACCGGCCCCTACGTTTGTCAAAGATAGGTATTTGAGTCACCATGTTACAGCCAGATTCTTACCTTATCTCCTGTAAAGCTGTGAATCTTCACGAGTTTATCAATCTCTGTCACTCATCTCCTCATCCCCAGATCCCTAAATGTTCAGCCTTTTCTCCACCATTTCTTAAAAGTGCTACCTTCCTAGGAGTGATTTGCAGGCAGTCAGCTACGGCCTCCCCCAAAAAGAGACCCATTCTCTCTTACCACACCTCTTGATTCCCTTGTCTCGATCACTTCTTCTTTTATGTCTTTTCCAAAAGGACCTTCCATATGAGTTTCTATTTGCCTCATTTGTGTGAGGATGTCATTTGTATAAGCCCATTTAACAGTTCATATTTATTAGTTACTCCTAAAACAGGGAGGTGTTTCCTTCCAAGCAAAGTTCACAGCATTGTTCCTTTTCATTTGAGATCTCATTCTTGAGTATCACAGAAAGTTTTCAGTCCTTAACCCAGGGTGTAAAAGGGTGAATTTCAGATAAGTTCATAAAGGCAGCCAATTAGTTACGTATGCCTAGCTAGAATTTCTGCATTCCTGTGAGAGATACTTTTTGCTCCTTCTCTGCCTCTTTTTTCCCATTGCCTCTCCTAAGGAACATTTGTATAAACCCTACTGTCCCCACCAAATTGGCAGCACTGGGCCCCCATAGGCTGATACGTAAATGTGTAACTCTTAAATCCTGCATCGATCTATAAAACATGCATTTCTCTTTTTTCCTTCTTCACCCTCCCTTTTTTCTATCCCTTTCTTTTCTCTCTTCCTTATCTTTAGCATTTTATTTACTTTTGCTTATCCAGAGATATATTGAATGGGTCATCAAAGTTCTTAGCATCTTCTGAATAGC